ATTTATCCATGATATAAGTATCCGACTTACTGTTGATGTAGATACATGGAATAGGTGACCAATATGCTCTTCAGCAAAACCTTGTCTCAATCGACACATGGCAAGAAAATATTCATCAATTGGTCTTAGAAGTCTTGATCTTCCTCTCTTGTTTTCGTTGATTTCCTCCTCTTGATCATACACATTTGGTGAAACATCAGAAGTCGTGCTCGTATAGTATCTGATATTTTCTCCTTTATCACCAGGGTCTAGGTATGTAAATATTTCCATAAAAACGTCGTAGTTAGGAAACCCCGTGTAAAATGCTATCGAAGATTGTTTGTGACTGAATCTTTCCACCGAAAAAAGCTTACTTTTCAGAACATCTTTTTGCTTTGAAATGTGCTCTATCTCAGTTTCCAGCTGTTTGATTTGTGTTTCGTAGTCTTTTGCCAATTTCAACACATCCTCAAAATCAGTCTGGGTTTCAAAATCTCTCACTTCAACAAAGTTCGTCTGTGTTTCAACTTCTCTCGTCTTTTCAAAGTCTTCTTTTACACTCTCTATGGTTTCTATATTGGCCGATTCTACAAAGATATTATCCCTGTCTTCCCCAGCGTTATTTGAAGCACTGCACGAAGGAAAATTGAGAGATCTTAACGATGGTGGTTTACGTTTTCTTGGTGAGGTACGCCAGGGAAACACCAAAGGCACCACTCCGGGTTCCAAGCATATCTTGCCAGCAAGTGTTCTATTAAGGTCTTCCTCCTTGAAATGCCTTGAACAAACTTTCGTTGAAGAAACTATTTGAAAAGATTTACCTTCTTCCCGACGGATAGCGTGAACCCAAAGCTTTCTGATATTATTGTCTTTGGGGAAGATAAAGTAAGAGATCTTACCGTCATTGTCATCTCGATAGCCTTTCTTGGTGCAGAACGGAACACAACAGTGAGTTGGCATTGTACATGTTTGAATTATACTTTGAAATTGAAGTTATAACATTAAAAAAGTATTTCAAAATAATAAAATCGCTCAAAAWCCTTTCACAAGTACCGGAATATCGCCTTCATGTGTGTAATGTTTACAAAATGAGGCCTTTGTGGCCTCGACTCCGTGCCCTAGTCACCAGTCTCAAATCAGCCGCCGCCATTATGACAAAGGTGTAATGATTCCTTTGTTTCAAAGGGAAGTAAACATCTTCAAGGATGAAAGTAACTGAAAGACTTCTTTGCCAGCTGGGATAGGAAAGCATATTTACAGCTTCCCTGAAGAATATGGGATGGATCAATGTGATAATGTTTACATTCTTTAATAAATAAGCATTTGATGTAGTGCTGAGATGCAAAAACAATTTTTAGTCTTAGAGTTTTATGAATTTTAATCTTTCGCATCATTAGCAAGACAGCTATTGTTTATACAATTTAAATAGAATAAATAAGTTTATTGATTTACTGTGAATTTAAGTGTCCTAGTTATTTTGGGCCATTTCTATTCCTATGTATTAGTTTGCCTGTTACTATTGAGCAACTACAGAAAGTGGCTGAATGTTCTGGAGTACTTGAAGTTGCGGRCTTCCTTGAACCTGCATTCCGATTGAAATGCCAGCAAGTAAACCCTAATGTTGAAGAAATTGAAGCAAAGGATTGCGGAAAGGCATACCTTTACCTAAAAAAAATATACTGATCAGATTTAGTTAAAAGAAAATTAATGTAGTGGAACCAAACTTGCACAGTACGTCATGGATTCCAATCTTTTYTCTCTCAATCAATTCCCAAAGCAACATATCAGGAATATACTTATGAACAATGATATTTACTGTTTTTAATAATAAATATGTTCTTATATAGCGCATTATAGATTCTCAATGTGCTTTACAAATATTACGATGAAATGTTTTTGCCCATTTACTTCTATATTATCTGATCAAAATTCAGTTTATCGCTGCAAAAATATGTATCTCAAAGTAAGATTCCATCCCTTTCCATCACCTCCATTCCTTCTTCCATCACGCTTCCAAAATGCTGTAAGCATGCTTCTTTAATGTTTTCAAGTGTCAACTCTTCGAATTCATACAGGACGAATTCGCGGGGTTCCATCCGCGAATACTATGTGCTGCACCTGAAACTTCGGCACTTAAACGTTGTACCCTGTTCTTTTTTCCTTCATGGAAGACTCCGACTTCTTCCAAGCAGCGTTATTAGACATCCTGAATATTCAACCTGTCCAACTCCTTCTCAATGATTTGCTTCTCAGCCAACAATAGTCTTTGAGGCGAGTTTATAATAACCTCAAGATCATTTTTCTCTAAGTATTTCAAGGAGTTTTTTGTTCAAAAGCYACAGCTTTCGAATAGTGGTGCGAGACAATCCAAATCTACTCCATTCGAGATGGAGCACAGCCATTCACGAACTTCACTTGAAACGGCCATCGTGAAACTCGTGTGATAACAAATCGGTCACTGTCTGGAAATTTGCTGCCCTGATTAGGCGTGACGGGTACTTATGTTGATTTCATTTCTCAGTAAACCATTATACGCAGGCTACAGTACACTGTAAACAGGCTTCAGTGGTGTTTCTTCGAAGTTTAAAATGCCTAAGATAGTAATACAGAGAGCAGTTCTGAAAAGCAGGCATGCTTACAGTACAACACACGTTGGTATCGGTCATATTTATAAATGCATGAGTGAATTGAACAATAAAGTCGACGACATCGCGTTTGCAGTCCACGACGAAGAAAGCCGTATTATTGGTAATTCCCCGAAACACGTTTCTGATCACTTKACGAGTATATCAGAAAACAAGGAGGAGATATAACATTTTTTTGGTAAGTTCACTAAATTATAGTAACTGATTGAAATCGCGAGTTTAAAAATTCAGTGTCAATTGCAGTTAGTTAGTTTCATTGTTTTGCACACAGCGAAATAATTGGAAAAGAAGATAKCAGTTTTCCTTGGCCAGGGTGGAGAAGGGTTATAATGCCATGCAGATATTAAGTTTATTGCTCAAGAAATGATTTTTACAGAGTTTATCAGTGTCTACAACAATCATTAGTATTCATTCCTGGAGGATACATACACCCTAGTTAGTCCTGTCATCCAAAAAGCCGCGCAAGAAACTGGCCTCAGCGAAGAGAGAGTTTAGGTATACAATAATTTTATTGCTTTTTCTTCCTATTGCAAGAATTTCTTAAACTTTTTGAAGAAGATTTCAAATTATTTTCATGCCTGACAGAAGTGGATTTCCAACGAGAAACAGAAAAGACAGCTACGTCGTCTACGGACCAGCAAGAAGAAAGCAGCTTTTCAAAGAAAGCAAAGCTTCGTTCTTTCAAACGTGGGCCGTCGTCTTATAACGTATTTTGTTCGGAGTTTTTTCGCTYGGGGAAGTGGTACAATCAACGCAACCTACAAACAATATTAAAGGATAAAAACTAGCAATATTTAGAAGTGGGAAAGTGGATCAGAGTCATCAGTCCTATCCTACAGAGGTCAATGACTTAAATAAAGCTTAAAAGATTAAAAGCTGAAATTTGTCTTTTAGTAACTTTTAAAGTGATAAGGAAATTAGATTTATATTTGAACAATATTGCAAGAATTAAAGAAAAAAAGTATTGTAAAATATAAAACTGCACGAATTTATATGCTCCCCTCTCCCCCCTCCCTGCATTCAGAACGCTGCATTTTGCGTATTTTCACATCATTTCCGATCCCTTGCTATTCACCCATTATTTTTTCATTTTTCCATTCATCTTTTTTTTTTYYCCCAAAGGCCAGTGTAAAGGTGTCTCAAATGACGAGAAATACCGCCTAGCGGGAGAAGCCTGGAAAAGTTTCTCTCCCCAAGAGTCTGAGAAATTCCAGGTTTTGGCAACAGAATACAAACACCCAAGTATTGACAAAATAGATGAAGAAACCAGGAAAAAGTTAATAAGTGAGCATAAAAAAAAGATGCTGGCACAGGTAATTGAGTTTTGTAAACTGCAGCACAATATGTTACAAAACTATGATATCACAATATATATGTATATTTATGAAAGAAATGTTTCCATTTTGTTTATTCATATTTCTTTATAATCATTCATGCACTAAAGGTCAGGCTAGTAAAAATTGTTCACTGGAAAATTTGTTTTGTCCAGTCCCCCCCCTAAAACACATACACACACACACCTCCTGTACTTTTTATTTACTTTATGAACAGTCCTCAAGTTGTTATTTAGGGGGAGCTTTTACATTTTGAATGTAAGTCCAGGTAGATGAAATATAACAAGGATTTATTGTAATAGTATTTTTTTAGGTAAAATAAGGCAGTTGATGAAGATTTCATGATGATGACCGTTTTATTTTGCCATTTTGAAAAATGAATTAATTACAGTTGGGTGTCAGAGATTGAACCGTGCTGCAGTAATCAATCAATGTATTATAGAAATCAATTAACTAACAGTTTTCAATTACTGATTTTTTCATTTAAGTTACAATAATTTTTGTTAACAGCTGTTGAATTCAAGCACTACACATATAAAGATGTGCAAGAGCTGTTCAATGAAAAATAWAGTAAGTTGAAAAATAAATATGACAAACAATAACAAATGACTTTTCAAAATTCTAATTTTTATAATTATTATATTATATATAAATTAATATATATAATACTGAAGTTGAAGTTGAACTCTTTATTTTGTTTCATAAATTCATTACTCACCAAAAGAATATTCTTACTAACAAATATCAACTCTTAGCTAATTGCTCACAATTGAATTTTTTTCTTTAAATTGAAAAGTAAAAGCTGATGAATTCARCCTAYGAAATTTAAYTTAACCATAATAACAAAATGTCCATTTTAATACAATAACATAAACCTYATTAGTATAATATTGGTCAATAATAAAATTTTAATACAACTTTTGCAAATATATTTTGGAAATATCACACATCATTATATATATACTTTTATAATTTTTTATTACATAGGATATATATAACTTTAGTTAATATATTCCTTTKTATACAAAATTTTAGGCAAAGCAATGGGAAAGAGCTCGAGAGTCCCATATGAAAAGGGTGGTTTCAGTGTAAAAAAAACCTTCCCCATGGCATAGAATTCAAGAAACCATCCAGTTATGGGAAAAAGCAAATACATCGCATACTGGCTGCCAGAGATAAAATAATTTTTGAAATCTTGCCTAGTTCAAGAAATACTCCTGCAGATGATAGTACTTTGGCCGAAAATGCCACGACCACTATGCAAGAAGATGATGTGTTGCCTCCTAATCAAGGCCTCATATTTTCCACACTGTCAGCTGTGGTAGGAGAAGAGAAAGCAAAATCAGCTTCAAAAAACACTCCCATTAATGAGGACGATGTTGAGGT